CAGGGCCGCCTGACAGTTATCAGCTGCCTTTGGAGTCAGAGATCAGTGAGGAAGAAGAACAGCTGGAGCCTATTCCCAATGTGCGCATGCACAGAGCTGCCAGATGAAGGGTCTGGGGAAGGCTCGGATGGGGGCTCTGCGTCGGAGGCAGAGATGGGGCCAGGGCCTCCTGAGAGTTATCAGCTGCCTTTGGAGTCAGAGATCAGCGAGGAAGAAGAACAGCTGGAGCCTATTCCCAATGTGCGCATGCACAGAGCTGCCAGGAGAAGGGAACAGTGAAGGGACAAGAGTCGATTCGGGAGTAAAAGCACAGCTGGACGGTGAATGGCCCCTCCCAGAGGGAATAAAAAGGAGCGAAAGGGGAGTGGAGGTTGCAGGAGACCATTAGTTCGTTTAATTAGTGTGAAGATCTGTTCCTGACTTCTTGCCAAGTCACTGCTGCTACAGCAGGGCGTTTGGAAGCTATCCGCCTGGCAACTCTCCCAGCCTGATAAAGGTCTATCGTTGTGAAATCTCTTAAAAGACTGTTGGCCGGGACTTTGTTGGAGAGGGAAATTCACGGTCAATTCAATAAAAGGGGTTTTATTGGGAACGAGGAGTCAGCTTCGTGACCTCGGGAAGCCTGGGCCAGAACAGAAGGTGAGAATAGGGCTGGTGGGTCAGGGCTGGGCCCCCCGCAGGCCGAAATGGAGGAGTTGTTCACCCCACTGCAGCTGAGGGACTTTCAGGAATCCCTCCATAAAACAAGACACCCCCCCCCCCGCCGCCCCCCGCACCCCCCCCCCCCCCGAAGGAATACCTGTCTTGGATTCGAGGTGTTTCTTCTCCCAGTTGATGCTCAGCCCGAAGTAACGGCTGGTCCAGAAGACCAGGAGGCCGTAGACTGCCAGCTCTGCCAGCAAGGGGCCCAATCGCCAGGCCCAGCCTAAAGAGACGGAGGGGGGAGGGTCAAGGCTTATGGGCCCCAGGGAGGAGGCTGGGCCGCAGCTCCCATCCAACCCATCGTGCCACGTTCAGGAGACGAGGCTGGACTACAGCGTCCATCAAGCCCATCGTGCAAGTACTATCAAACCCATCAGGCACATGAGATGCAACTGGACTGCAGCTCCCATCCAACCCATTGTGCAAGTGCCATCAATCCCGTCACGCACCTCCCAGGAGATGGGACTGGACTGCAGCTCCCATCAGCCCCTTCAGGCAACTCCCACCAAGCCCATCCTGCAAGTACCAGCAAGCCCATCCTGCAAGTACCAGCAAGCCCATCATGCAGGTACCATCAATCCCATCATGCACCTCCCCATGACAAGCGACAGGACTGCAGCTCCCATGAACCCCTTCATGAAACTCCCAC